ACATCTCCAAATATAAAGCAACTAAGAAACAATCTCTGTTTAGGTGTTTTGTAGAATCAGATGACGCCATAACGGCCCGTCACATTGTCAACAGGCAATTGCAGGTCGCATTTGCTCAATTAATAGGCATGAAGTGAGTTGGATTGGGCCTTGGTCTTCAAGACACATCACCATTTTTTAGTCTTCGGATCGTTAAAAATTCTTTAAGCAACTACCTAGCCAAACATTAAAGCTATTTTTACGAGCTGAGTTCAGAATCCTCTCTGAACACCTACATATCAACCTAGACAAAATGATATGCAATTGTACATTAAGTACATACGTCACCTCACGCTTTGCATCACGGCCAATTCGCAGGGTCTTATAGACGGTTAAGGCATGACCAATATATTTGCGTTAGGATTATACCCAAGAAGAGATAATAAGAATTGCGGAACAGGAAGAATTTAACGTAAACTTTGTTTACAGTGATTCAAGTTCCTATTGTTTGTCAAGATGAAAAGAAAATGGAGACCCAGAACCGAAGGATTTCTTATAAACTGAGAGTGAGATCGCTTGCGCTACCATTAATAATTATTTGCAGACATGAAATAGGTGAAAAGGCTGGAGCATTGTGCATACAAACGCAGTGCCTTAAACGCTGTACCACGTACAGCAGGAACAGTTACCGTTAGACGGTCAAAGAGGGTCCGAGGCGTGGGTCCGACGCTGTTGCAATAACGCAACAACTATAGAATTGTTTAAAAATCATCAGGGTCATTATATTCGGGAAACTCTACTATTTTAGCAACGTCAAGCAAATTTATCGACCTCTTGACGACAGTTGCTCCCAATACTCATGCAAAGTGTGTAGCTACTTCTGGTAATGAGGTCTCTCTCATTACATAAGCATTCATAATCGCAAATAAATTGTCGAAAGATAACTTGTCAATTGTAAGGCGTCAAATCACTTTTTACGAGGCCAGTCGCGTAATGAAAGGAAATATAAATTTATTAATTGCGAGATGCCACCAACGAGGAAGACAGTTCCACTCGCGAGGGTGCGGGGTGCAACGGTAATAAAAATTATAATGCTTGTCGTATCAAATAACTTGCTCACTAACATACTTAAGCATGACGATAAATTCATCGTCATGGACCTTTATGCAAATATTTTTCTCTCTGGTTGACTACAACATAAAATGTAAAATCCAATAGTAACATTGTGTCGAAGAAGTGACGATACGCCTGCCGCGTAATCATCATACGGTCTTCGCATGAACGTCTATCGACTTTCACCAGCAAATGATTTACTACACATGACTGTGATGGCCTTATGTGTGGTTAGGTCGATCGCACGAATGCACAAGATCGCAATTTGACTAAGGATATTATTGCGAAGCAACGTTTTGGCAAATGCAAAACAACGAAGGGAGTGTCGAAGGCCCACCACTCGAATAGGTTCATCGTACCGAAGCATGGTTGTTCTCTTAGTATGCAAAACCCAGATCATTACGAACCGTTTGCCATCGGATGTCATTACAGATTTGGAAAGGCCTAACATTCTAGATTCGAAGGAATTTGTCCCCATTTTACTATAAAATCAAAATACATGAGATAACAGAGACATTTCATGTTCTAATGAATGACCGATCAAGAATAAGTAGTCATACACCTTATCCGATCGCTCCTCCGAATTTGACTTCAGAGGTCACCAGTTACCTTCGCTGAACCAATAGAATTTTTAGCGTGATCTGAGTACTGTCGCGGAATATGAGTACGCCATTTATATCATATTGGCAATGGTCTATCCCGATATTATAAAAAGTTTAAGTAGGTTAGGAATGAAGGAGAGAGGCCATGATGATAAACATTGGAATAAGCTATAAACGTCTTAGTAAGTGGATTATTTAGGGCAAATTTTAAATACGATGATTTGAAAATAGTAGATGTATTCATAAAAGGAGCTTTAAAATAGTTACCTTAAAAATTTGGTACTCGTTACAAAATTAACCTGAAACCGGGCTTGTACTACTTTGGCATGAAAGAATGATCGCTGCCTAGGGATCAAGTACCAGAGACCAACAAAATTTTGTAGCTCGCCTAGCATTTGTCCACATGAGAGGTCGACCTCCCTAATTATGTCCCCGACCTTAACATGTGCTAAACATCACAGGGGAGTGGAGGATGGTACATGCCTTCAGCAATTTTAATTCTGCACCTTTACCAATTCAAACGCCGATACCAAGAAAAGATGTCATAATTATAAACATGGAAAAGAAAACATATCTTCATCGATGGACCGAATCAATGGATAGAATGCAAACGGACTTTATCGGATCACAATGCTTGAGTGGAACATTCTCTATTCTGCAGTGACCACCTTAAGTGATATACTTTTATAATGGCGTTATTCCACGTAATATAAGGAATGCCTCTGGTTCGTTTTACAGATGCGCTACAAATCTTTTAAGATTTGTACAAAAATTCGCGTCCAGATAACTCGATGATGTGCTCATTGTAGCCGGGATATGCAAGAACAGACGGATGTGTAATTTAAAAAAATCCGCGTTCGAAAGGTTTTTTCACCGCTGCGTGAGCATAAGCTATACGCTAATCTCAGATAATGCAAGATTTTGCTAGCAAATAACCAGATTCTGGTTCCATTATAAAAAAGAAAATCGTCCAGTTAGATCCGAATTGCTGAATAGCCGAAATCTACAGGTGTCTAAGGGCTTCAATATTTGTTTGTTTACGTGGCATATGTAAACAATCTGTTACGCCGAGAGGGCATGGATTGCCAATTGCCAGTGTTCCTTATAAGGTGTATAGAAAAGCTTGATACATTCGCCATATTGTGGCGATTGCAGACCAAGACAGACCATCCCACATTGTATGTGATGCCAGCGACTATTCTATCGGCTGTTCAGTTTTGCAATTCGATGCAAACGATACGAAGTGTGTTTTATGTAGCAAGTCACTCTAGCTGCAGCAAGCTAACGCAACTACAATGTACAGGATAAGGACTTTTTCGCCACAAGGTAGGCTCTGGCTAATTTCATAGTATGTATGCTAGGCGATAGACTCTTCATTGTATATACGTACCATAGGTCTTACGCACGGCCATACAGTCCACATCTCCCGCAGCGGATTTAAAATGACTTTCAATCAAAGCGGATTTTCAGTTCTCCTTCAAGTATAATCCAGGACGACTTAATGTCTTCCTGACTGTCTCTTGCCAACTAGATTTGAGCCGGCTGCACCACCTAAAACTGGTCCGACCACTGCCGCGGTACTGACTTCGAATTGATCGTCTCCAATCTTTTAAAAGACCAACAAAAGGCGTATGACATCTAGATAGTACGCTTGATGGACCATATTGTCACCTTCCGGGAACAGCCTCAAACTTTTCTCGCCAATATGTTAATCCTCTACGTATCGATAAGCATTTCGCAACGGTTTACTTCAAAATTCAGCTGTCGCCGGCTACACACCTCGTGTCTTCTTACCAAATAATTATAATCTGTAACCGCTCATCATGTATTAGTATTAGACGCACCTGTGGTGGACATCGTAATCGAGAGAAATTTATCTCTCCTTGAGCCGCAGTATCAGCTGGACCCCCAGTAACAGTTCGCGTTCGATAACGTTTGGCCCATTAAGCCTGTTAACGGGTTATGTCTAGTTCTTCTGTTCGTGGCCCGTTGAAGCCTCTGCCTGTCCCTGCTGAGTACTTAAGAGATATCATACTAGACCTTTTCTTTGATTCTCTCGCAGACTCTCACAAGTATATGGTATTCTTGTGTTCGTTGACAGATTCGCTTTAATTATTTTTTGTTTGTTTAATTTTAATTGAGGATTAATTCCTATCGTTGTTTAAAATAAATTCCAATCAAATTGTATTTTAAAAAAAATATTTTAAAATAATTTTTATTGTTAACATGAAAACCTCTCATAATATGTTTGACACTATAAAGAAGGCGAAAAACTGTGTATTCTAAGACACGAACTTGTTCCCGTGTTTCAAATGACAAAGCCTTTCGACTTCATTGGTGTCACGTGAACTCGTGTTCGATCGTGACCCGCATATTGCATTTGATTGCAGGTACTCCGTGCATAAAAAAATTTGAAATGCGCTTATGATGTCCACGTCTGACCGACAGAAAACAGATAATTACAAAGATTGCGCTTTTGTGTTCTCTAAGAAATTTTTCGTATTATTTTACGAATTAAAGCGAATTCTTGCCGATCGTGAAGTTCGCCACCAATGACTCGGTCCATGCGTCTACAACGCACACGCTGTTCGTCGCTAATGGATAACGTCATTTGCTTCTGCCCATCCCCGTTTTTATATTGTGACTCTGGTTTAAAAGGTAAATTCATCCGAGCGACCGTTAATGTAGCGCTCGCTTATCACGTGCTGATCACACGGTCGCCACGTTCGACGCTGATGTCGAGACATCGAATTTGGTGAGCAGAGTGAATTAAAGCGAGGATGCGCTTACTCATCACGATACCGATCAGATCAGCATCACGCCTTGTGTGTCCGAAGTTGCACTTTTAAAGGCGAAAAAATGAATTAAAAAAATAAGCTTTCAGAACACTAAAGCTAAAAACAGTGAATAGTTAGGTAATTTGAATTGGCTCGTATATGGCCGACCCATTCTGATGAGACTCTATAGAAGAGGTGGTAGATCTACAAAATAGAAACGCTGACAAGAGTGGAATGGCGAACGTGGTTTTATTCAATGAGGGTGAACCGGTTCCACAATCTACGGTAGAGCTACTGTGACACAAAATGACTAAAGTAATAATTAATATTCGAGTACCTAGGTTCATCGGTCCATTCTGTGTGCTGTACCGCCTAGGCAACGCATGAACAATTGAATACTACTTAATATGCGCACACATTTTATGTTCTGCGTAGGTCGCCTTGAGCCTTACCGTCAGCACGGGGCAGACGGAGAGAGCCCTTGCGCTCAAGCATCTCCAACCAAAACTTGTGCTCGAGATGCTGACTCTCAGCCCTCGTCTAAAGCTCGAAAGTCTCCCTGCGAAGCCGAGAGATATCCTGACGAAATTCCAACAGTCGACACGTAGAGAAAGATGTCCCTATCATTAGCCAGGTGATCAACTGCATTCTCCGCCCGGTCCTTGCCTCGATCTGAGCTCGGACGAATAACATTGTCAAGCAAATCCAGACGATTTTCCCCTCTCATGTTTGACGTCTTTGCGCAACTCACACGTTGCGCGGTCAAGATGACTCACAGCCGTTTGGATTAGTTATTCAATTTTTTCAGGCTAAAAGTTTCCTCCTGCACTTCATCCACTAGTTAATAAACGCATTAACCCAAAAATCGTTGCTCGCAAAGTGTCGAATGACATGTGATGAGAATGACGAATAATGCACGAGTGGTTTTGACTAGACATTCTTATCTTATCAGAAAAATCGCTGTGACGCGAAGACAAAGAGCCGGGCATGCGAAATCCACCCAATTAAAGTTACTGCTACCGGCGGTGGTTAAGGTAGAGGTCATAGCTCAATGGATAGACCACTTTCATCTAGCCGCGAGTCTATAATTGTGACGAAAATGGTTAAGTTTTGATACACGAAAAGACGCCGTCGAAGGTCTTAATTATTCGTATTGTCTACCAAGTGCCGCAACATACTCTTCCCAAGAAAAACCTATCGCAGACGATCAGGACGACCATTCAGTGACATACAAGGCACACAACCAGCACTTTTCCTACCAATGCTTTCCATTCCTCTTGTCGATGATGAACTATTAAATTTTTCTGGGTAAATACATTTACATTGTCTTCGTACGCGAGTATACGATGCCTTGACGTACTTGGAATTTCAATAGCGGCCGCTTAATACTTTGCGTTTAAGCTATCTTAGTCTCGCTTCTTAGAGCGTTTCAAATCGATTCCTAGGTATGATAGAGCGGACCTTCACAGCTCCTTGAGTCATAGGAAGACTCAATGCTCAACGAGCAACCTAGCTTCAAAGAACTAGACCTAATGATTCAACAAGCGCAAAGCATTTATTTCTCAATCCAGGGGACCAAACTACTCAGTAAATCGACAGCAATTAGTGCTCAAGAGTAACTAGCTACCTCAAGAAAGTGTTGCTAACTCTTAGTGGTCAGTGATCAACGACCAGAGACACCTCACAAGGCACGTGACTTCAAGATCAAAGGGGGAACTGAACTTTATTTGCATTTACATCCATAGAATATCTTAACCTAAGTTAGTATAACTAAGAAGGTCTCTCCTATCTAGTGGCTGCACCTGTAACGGGGCACCCTGAAGCTTGTACTGGTGACAGTACAAGCTACTTATTCTGATGACAGAATAAGGCGGTGCCGCGTAACTTCACGTACACTCGTACGTGCAGAGGAAGACGGTAAGAAGAAGCGAGTACTTGGTTAGAGTAAAAAGTAGAACTGTATTTATAATAGTTAATGTCTGCAATAAATCACTATTTGTCTTCATCTAACTATGTATAAATACAAATGTGTAAATCAGTTATCTGCTCACCACTCATTGCGTGCGTCTGTCGTGGCGCGTCTTCGTTGGTTGATATAATGGCTTATATCAACCAATTAGGAACTACTCGTAAGTGCTACAGAATATTTGTCCTTATGACAATATTCCGAGAATATAACTCTTATAGTTATATTCTATTCACAATTTCTAATAAATTGTATTTTAACGATTTACCCCGTTACATCACCCCCCTTAACCATGAGTCACTTTAGTGACTGATAGACTAAATGGATACTCGTCCTAAATCATTTGGGACAGGGTTTGCACTTGTTGGTCCGGGTCCACTTTCCAGCAAATCATCGCATGGTTAAAAGCCCTTGCGGTGCACGAGCAAGGCCGCCGAGAGCGCGTCTGCATGTCTCTGTGCGGACGCCGAAGCAGAAACCGCAGCAACAGATGTGTCCTCTGTTGCTAAAGCGTCTCAGTCTGTATCAACTGGTGATGCAGGCCCTCATCCTGAAGACACTCGTGTCTTCACAGAGTATGAGCTCGGTGTCTCGTACTCTCCTGATACGAAAGACGGATCCGTATCGACGGCGATCGAATCCAAGCCGCCTGCCAAGCGTGGCATGGATGATGCTATGCGTCGTAGCATCTTTGGTTCATCTGATTCATCAGATGAACCATCGCCGAAGCGAAGGCGCTCGAGGTCACGAGACTCGGGCGCTAACAGTGGTGTCGGTTCTCCTATTGACACCACTTCACAGTAAGGGGTCATTACTTCTGTCGGCACATCGCAGGAAGAGCGGGACCGCAATGTCTTGCGTCTCACTCCCGAAATGAATACATGGCTGCCTCCAAAGTCGGTCATGGATCGCTTGTCGGCGACGACGAGTGATCGTTATCGAACACGATTGTTCGATTCGTCAAGGATCCATCACCTTGACCCCAGTTCGAAAAGCTATCGCGCTGAACATGAATTCTTCATCGATGCTTTCTTTAGACATCGATGGTACAGTGGGAATCACAAACGTGATGGTCCCTCACTACTTCAGGCGTGGAACGCCTACATCCATAACCTCGAGGATGTAGGTCGTGACGCTTGGAACGACAAACTTATCAAAGCTCGTGATAAGTTTGAAAAGCGAACCCCGACAGGTGCACGCTACAAGCTGCATCGTCTGTCAAGGGAGAAAGGATTACCCTGCCTTTCTTGGGGAGACTCGTGCCCATGTTGTGTGAACAACTCTGCACGAGCACCTAAGGAGGTTTACCTCCTTACCAGCCCGTGGTGGCGCGTACGTGTCTCTACTGAGATGTACGAAGGGATTGACAACCTGAAATCCTTTTACGAACGTGCCGGGAAGACTTTCTCCGGCGGTCCTTCTGCGGCACAGGATGTGCCGCGTCGTACTGCTCAACCAGACCCAGTACGTCAACTATCAGTTGGGAGCGGGGCTCCCAAGTATCCCAGGACGGAGGATAGCCGCGCCACCGGACAAGATAACTCGTCCGACGTCCGTTCACGTCGCGGTGGTTCAACAGCTGCTCAACCAGATAGCGCTGGCCACCGCGAGAGTCCTCTAATGCAGGTGGAGGAGGAGGAAAGACGCTCTCCACACGATCATTGGGATCCGTGTGTTTCCGAGATCTTCTTTGATCGCGTAACGCAAGGGTTACGCAACGATCTTGAACATGAGCGGGACAGGCGTCTCCAAATGGCGGACACTGTCTCGAAGCATCGAGCTGAGTTCGCCTATGCTCAGCTTGAGAACGAGAGATCTCTGACATCTCTTCGTGACGAGCTAAGGGTAGCTCGTGGGATTGCTGATCGGTCTAGGGATGAAATAACCGCTCTTCAGACCCTTGTCGATGCCCACCATCGGGAGCACAAGGCTCTCTGCGAGATGCTTGAGCGCAAGGGCGTTCTTCATCGGAAGAAGCAGCGTACTGATGGTACGGCTTAAGTCGACCAACGTAAAACGTGGGATGCGTTCGCATCTTACGTGGCAGTTCGATCGTGTATGCATTGCCTAGGCGGTGCAATACACGAAATGAGCCGATGTACTTGGGTAGTAGTTTACTGCTACCCAAGCTTTTCACTACGTGCTTTGGTAGATTAACCGTAGACAGTAGGACTAAGTCACCTTTATTAAATAAGAGAGTATTTGCCATTCCATTTTGTCTGCGTTTTGCTTTTGCTTATCCACCGCTTCGGCGATGGAGTCTTGCACAAAACGGACTACCGTTTCACGAACCAGTATGAACTCATCTGCTGACTCGTTAGCCTCAGTGCGCTGTGAGTGCACTGCAGCAACATCAACTTTTTCTTCAGTGAGGGCTTCCGCACTCTCACTGGCATCATCTTCTTCGATATCGATGTTATCGATATCGGCATCAAAAGCAACGACTTCTTCGTCAGAGCTTGATGAGCGTGAACCAAATCGGTTTTTGCTCGCGCGAGTCCCTCCCACCCTTAGACCAGAGTTACACTCTAGTAAGGTGGGTACACGCGGATGGCGTAAGTCATTCACGTAAAACGGTGTATGTGTCGTGGACGCATGCACCGAGTTGTTAATGGCAAACTCTACCATTGGCAAAAACTCACTCCAACACTTAAAGGAGTGTACGTATCCTCGAAGCATTTCTTCAAGGACACGATTGGCACGTTCCGTCTGACCATCTGACTCTGGATGACCAGATGTCGACATCTTCAAGCGCGTTCCGAGTGATTTGAACACGGAACGCCAGAAATCAGCAGTGAAGCGTGGACATCTGTCTGATGAGAGTTCACGGGGCAACCCATGAAGTCGGAATATGATGTCAATAAAGACACAAGCACAGCCACTAGCCGTGATTGTCTCGGGTACAGCCACAAGGTGTACCATTTTGCTGAATCTGTCAACAAATGCTAGAATACCCGTATTCTTGCGTGCGTCTTTGGGTAACCCGAAGACGAAATCCATTGAGATGGATTCCCAGCACTCTGCCAAAACTGGTAGAGGCTGTAAAGGTGCACGCAGTGAAGGACTTGACTTCACTCGTTGGCAGACTTCGCATGCGCGAACATACTTTCGCACAAACTGGTACTGGCGGGGCCAGTAAAAGTCTCGACTTACCGTGAGATATGTTTTCTCTCGGCCACGATGTCCTCCTATAGGAGCATCGTGATACTCGAACATGATCCGCAAACGCAGATCAGTATCATCTGGAATGACAACACGTGGTGTGTCACCAGAAACGGCTGTATAATACAGTAAACCGTTGCGAGTAGTGTATCGATCTGATGCAGATTGATACGCAGGCGACAATCGTTTCAACGATTCTCGAGATGGTTGGGAGAGATGTGTCAAAAACTTCACAATCTCACCATCTTGGGCGTATGCCCGCCTCACATCATCATACAACGTTGTAGATGGGACTGAGGACGTCATAACCGCAACAGTGACTGTCTCACTGTTGGGTTTCACGACTGGTTCAAAGTCGGGACGACGTGAGAGTGCATCAGCGACGACATAAGGTCGTCCTGGGTTGTACTCGACCGTAAAGTTGTATTCTGCGAAGAATGACAACCACCGCGCCATTCGTTGTGAAAGGTGCGGGCTGTCCACTGCCGTGCGTAATGACGCATGGTCAGTGTGAACAATGAAGGGTCTATCTCCTAATAGATAGACTCTGAACTTCGCGAGTGCATACTTCATGGCAAGGAGTTCCTTGTGATGCACTG